TGTTGTTGTTATGCTCATGATATAGTAGTATTATTAGCAATATTTATGTTGCTGTTGTTGTTGTTGTTGTTGTTGTTGTCGTTGTTGTTGTTATGCTCATGATATAGTAGTATTATTAGCAATATTTCTGTTGCTGTTGTTGTTGTTGTTGTTGTTGATGTTGTTGTTGCCGTTGTCGTTGGTGTTATCACTATCATTTGTATTATTGCTAGTAAAATATCTTCATGGAGATTATCGTTGTGAACCATGTTGTTGCTATTGACTACTTGTTCCAAATACATAAATGTCTATTCTTATGTGTATAATATATATATATATACAGTATATACACATACACACAATCCCTGGATTCACGGCATATGCCGCATGTCCTTAACTAAGGGGTAGGGCTGAACGGATCCCCTTTGAGCTGGTGTCGATGGTCAGCTGAGCCGAAACAGAAACAACGAAAATCAGCACTGCGAAACAACCCTGCAAACCCACGCTCGAATCGCAAAGCCTGCCTCCATCGTCAGTGCCCACCCATATCTCCATCCCTGAAGGTCCAAACATACAGTGTAGGAAATGGCCACAGGTTGAGAGGTATACCGCGTATTCCCTTCATCCACAAGCCAAACTGCTCGAGTGGTATTTCTAGCCGGTGGCGACCCACGGGTTCAACCCAGACCGAACGCCCTGTTTTGATGCAACGTAGCGTGTGCACATTGCAGCATCTGCAGACAGGCCAACTCGGCATGCTCGAAGCTTGGAGGTCGCAGATTCTTTATGGAGTTCAGGGGGGCTAGCCATCTTAGCCCGGGATTTGTATCCGGGATGGGCGGTCAAAACATCTCCCCTGTTCGCTCGCGCCCCCGGTTGCTGCGCTGAATCTTGCTGAGCGAAGGTCCTTTAGCACCGATGGTCTACTGGTCGATTAGGTCTTATTCAGACATCATTGACCTCTTGGTGTCTGCATCGTGCACTCCATTGAGGATCTTCACACCTGAGAGACAGCATCCTCGTGTAAGGGATGACGAACGACTTTCGAATCAAGATCGAAGCCATTGCAAAGGGCGGAGTCGGCAACATCGTCAAAGAACCAGATACAAAAACAGCTCCCCTTTTGTGGAAGAGATGCTGTCACTGGCAGCCCTTGACAGGCTTTCGCATTGCATGCCCTCCGACTTTTCTAATGGCCTGCCTTCTTGCCGACAATGGCCTACATGTGTAGTATCTGTGCATGGACCAGTGCTGAGTGGGCGGTAGCATCAGCAGCACATAATGTATCACCGAACATGCCAACTTGTTGGGTTACGACTTGGGACGGCAGCTTTTAGCCAGGCACTCCTAACGAAAAGACTAAGACAGGTGAATGCCGATGCCGAGGCCACTCCCCACCCTGTATTGTGCATGCAGCCCACGCCTGGTCACCTTCGTCACTTTTCATAAGGCAGTCTTCAAGGGGATCTTACGTGGACGGGAGCAGACGCGTTTGCTCTTGCCTTTGTGAAACGACTTTCGCCTTCAATCAGCAAAAGAGCGACAAGAGCAACCTAAACGACCCCAGCCTTCGCTTCAATCACTTGGGGGCAAAGTGCACGGAGGTTGTGAGGTTAGGGCTTAGGGCGTGTCGCTTGCCGCACTCTCTGCGCAAAGTGTCAAGGAGGGCAGGCCGTCCTGTCCTCCACCTCTTTCTCTCGAAAAGATGCAGCGAAGGGCAGAAAGGCTATTCCGGCCGTGGCCAGGCGAGGACGACATCGACATCGCAAGAATCTCACGACCTTCCCCTGAGGCGGCTCGTGCTGGGGGCCTTGAAGCTCGTGACGGGCGATGCAGCTCTTTGCGTCTCTTTGGCGATCACAGTGTTGCTGCCCGTTGTTGCTGGCCAGCAGAACTGCGGATAGACCCTGAGCCGAGACAAATGCATGCACATCGAGCGTACTTTCTCAGCTTCGCAGTGTCAGTGGCTTCGCTAGATACACCTTAGTGATGCTGAAGCCTCGAAGGACAACTTTAGAAGCATGCCAGCCCACTCGCAGAGCGCCTATGCAGTGCCGATGTGGCCTGGCTGGCGCGTGCGAGCTGGCTTCTGTTTCAGAGCTCTTTCAGCTTACTCAGATCCTTGAAACTCCCGGAATAGCACCAGCGTTGCTGCAGGGTGCAGGCTAGCACGACAGCTTCTTCATCTGGGTATGGAAAGTTCTGCGCTGACGAGCCTTCTTGCACCAAATTCTGACGGGCAGGGAGTCCGATTTTCTTGCCGGCATGCGGATGCAACCTATGCTGGCCTTGCAGAAAGATGATCGCTCCAGACTAAGGGTGCTCGGATTCTTGTTTGAGCAGCTGCTGGGTCCTATGACTTGCAGCCGGGTGCCCGATGTCTCATGTCTTGCGGAAGTGTCGGCGAAGCTTGGCCACACCTCTTCCCTTTCCAAACAGGCATGTCGCGCTGCGATGGCATCCACAGTCCCACAAGCCAGCAGTCGGGCGCCGAGCATTTAAGTCTCTCTGGCCTGTCATGTAGGCTTCCTTCAGGTTTCCACATGTAAACATTATCCCAAGAAGCATTGGGTCTTGGGCTTTTTGACCCAAGTGCATCCCAAAGCGAGCTGCGAGATGAGTTTGATGCTCAGATGCCCTGTCGCCTCAGGCTCTCCTTCTCCAGATCAACTGCCTTGGCCATGGCTGTCGGCTCTTTAAGTTCTAGCAATTCTTATTTTGGCCATCAGCTCAGGCTCAGGCCAGGGGCCTCAAGAGTTCGAAGCGAGCAGGAGCAGTGCTTCGGAGTGCTCTGCAAACCTAAAGTGACTGTCCCTGCATGGTCCTTTTAGCCTCACCTGGACACCGGCGGCGTGCACTTCCCCACTTGCCGAGTTTGTCGGATACTTTCAAGGAAGAACGGCCTGATACTCCGGAACGTTTCAGAAAGCCGCCGACCCGTCTGGGAGCAAGTCTGCCGAATATTACTTCAGTGGCAAGTCGGTGCAAGGACAAGAAACAACGGACAACAAACACCTCGGTTTTGCTCTTGGGATCCCCTTGTTTGGAACTCCGAGTATATCGCAGTATTTGGAGGCAGCAGGAAACCCTAGTTCAGCCGCTTGTAAGAACGGTGCAATGAGCGCTCGCGGCTTACCGCATGCCTGCCCACGGCCAAGGGCTTTGTTGAGAAGGGTTGGAGCTGCGTAGGCCTCGAAGGCCTCAGCAGGCCATGTAGCTTACGCGAGCACGATGACCTGGAGCCCAACAGCTCAGGTGCGACAACTGGCAAAATCGCGTGAGCCTTCGCAAGGGTGCTCCGACAGGCCAAAAGAGAAGTCCGGGGTCGCCAGGGCCCCACAGTTCTCCAGCAGGTGCTAGAGTTTCTGCTCAAGACTTCGCGCTCAGCGGTCAGCATAAACGCAGGCCTCGTCTGCCGACAAGGCTCCGACATACTGAAGACGAGCTGGGTCAGCCTCTGAACATGCCTTTCCCGTGCCCCTTTTTACAGCAGCGGTCCACACCTCGTGCGCAAAGGCAAAGCTTCAGCAACTCGCTGCCCACGCGCTAGAGCCGCTAGGGTGTGGCCAGAAACGTGCGTGGACAACGAAAGCCGGTGGGATACGCTTGAACAGCACCGGAAAGGGTCTTGGCGAAGGTGTGCCATGCACGCAGGGAACCAAACAGAGGCAGCAGAAGCCTAGCGACTGACTGGTTGCATTGCGCGGCATGAACCCAAGCATGCAGACGTCTGCAACGTGGCAAACGACGCAAGCTTCTGGAGGCCCGGCAGAAGTATGCCCCTTTTGACGCACGCACTAGCCCAGCTTCATATAACACCTTGTTCGGAGCCATTTGCTAAGCGGCTCAGCCTGCAAGAAGTTGAAATCTCAGAAGCATCATCAGGCACTTCAAGTTCAGTGACTCCTCCTTCTCAGCACTTCCATCGGAACGTGCCACCAAGCCGTAATCGGTACGTTGGGGGAGACAACTAAACTATATGATTCAAGATCGAAGCCAGCTCACCTGCCTCAGTTTCTCTGCTGAAAAAACCCTCAGGCTGTGTCAAAGGCCACCAGTTTAACTTTGGTACCGTGGGCAATTGCTGTTCTAATGTGATGGCGGATCGGCGGCCGCGAAGGCCGCTAAAGTACAAACGGAACGAACC